TATAATTGAGTTGAAATACCTACATTTATGAACAAAAGATTGGGTGGGATGCCTATTTCTGGTATACAAACAATATTATTCTCAACATCCTGCAATAATTGTTGTTCCTGTTGCCATTATGAACATGTAATAAAGCAATTTTGGAAACTTGAGTTTTTATTTGTATTGATAATGTTTAAATAAAACCCTCCGTAAAGTGGTGCTTTATTTTCGTTAGAAACACTGGTTTTGTTGTAATACATTGCGGTATGTCTAGCTATTATTTTAACGTTCAACGAGAAAACGCGGAAATTAGTAATGAAGAGAATAAGGGGGCTCGGCCTCTCGACTAATTTAATTCATTTACACGCCGCCCCCACGTTAAGACCCCCTCTTATTTATCGACCACTCGTATGTATGTATATACACCGCAGAGTCTCTTTTAGTTCACGTTCAGTTTGAGATTCTCTTATCAAGAGAATCAAACTCATTTCGCAAACCCGGAGTTCTTTTCAAACAACTTCGTTACTGCTACTTTGAGTTTATGCATTTGAATTGAATCGGAGGGAGAGTTTCTTTTTAAAAAGAATGCGGGGTAATTTTCGCCCCTTCGTTTGGATAATAAACGCCCGAGCCCGTCAATTACTTCCGGTTGAATGGACTGACGGATTTTCCGGGAATTTCACAGTATAATAGGATTAACTCTTCGACGCGATGGAAGTTGGCTTATTTAAAATGCACATATATATGTACATATTAGAATTATTCGAACGAGTTAACTATATTTATTTCTGTTGTTTTTGTTATTGATTTCCGCCGAAATATTTCAACGGTGTATTTATACTATTTCATTTCAAAAGAGCTGTGTGATGTTATCATTATCGATATCGATATTAAATGTTTCTAGTTAATTGATAAAAAAGTAAAAAAAATGTAGTAGGAAGTTTTTTATTTATTTATTCAAAACCTGTAAGAATTATGCTATGCCGTTCGGTTGGTCGATTGCTAGGCAGTACGTTTGAATGTCCCCGGGGACATTTTGATCATAAATATTTATGTTACGAGACGAAACGTTCCAACATTTCACCCCCAATCCGCCAAAACCCTCCTTTTTTACCACCCCGCCTTAGTATGTGCATAGCAAACGAAGGTGGCGATCTCGACGTTTCATCATAAACGTATCTTTACATTAAAAAAAACAACACCAGCTTTAAATCATCGTTTAAACCACAATGACAATAAATCATAAATAAACGCGAAAGCAGTAAATCATCATTTCTTTTCTAATTCACGTTCTCCTTCTGGTTCGTACTCATTTATATTTTAGAGGTTAAGCTTTTGACAGCAAAAACGATGATTTACGAGAAAGAATTTTCGTACAACTACTAAATGTAATAACACCTCGATATAAAGGACCACGCTAAAACCCGAATCTTTCTAGAATATTCTGCTCGATTCTATTAGTCGATTTATAATTTAAGTTTAAAGTGACATTTATGTTATATATTGACGTTTAACTGTCAAATTGACAGTTTTAAGGTTATCATTCTGTTTTTTATAAAATTTTTTATTAAATTAGTTTTATTATAAAAATTATTATGAAGTATACGATTAACTTTAACGTTTCGAAATATCAAAATGACTATTTCACCAAAATCAATTCGTATAAGATCTATTAATAACGTTGATGAAGACTTTAAATTTACCAAAATCAGTGGTCACTTTTTGGCACACTCACATTAACGTTTAATGAACAAATTGAGACTTATGAGTTGTAAATTACGAGGTTTATTTCTCCAAACTCAATTTTTGTACGTTGAAAGTAATTCATATAAAATATTAATCCATCAAAACGTCACTTTTTTAGATTTTGTTTCGTTAATATCATTCCATTTATAAAATAAAAAAAAAAAAAATCATTTAAATGATCTGTTTCTTGTTCAAAAACACATTTTTGTATGATTTATTGCGAAAACTTACAAATAAATTTGTTAAACGTCATTTTTATGATTTAGTTACTTTTTGACGTTAAAGTGTCAAATTGACGTTTCGATTTTAAAGTTATTCTATTTTTATAAATTTTTTTATTAAATTAGTTTTATTATTGAAATTGTTATTAAATATATGAATTTCTAGCATATTTAGATTATTTAACGTTTCGAAATTTCTTTTCGACTTTAAATTTATTAATTATTGTGTTTAAACTAGTCGTCAACAGATGTCATATTGATTAAAAATAAAATAAAAAATTATCACACAATTATTGTCTTAAAAATACAAACAATAATAAAATGTGTTTTTGAAAAAAAAAACTGTTTCTCTTTCAAAAACACATTTTTGTATGATTTATTACGAAAACTTAAAAATCAATCTGTTGAAACGTCATTTTTATGACTTAGTTACTTTTTGACGTTTAACTGTCAAATTGGCAGTTTTAAGGTTATCATCATTCTGTTTTTTATAAAATTAGTTTTATTATAAAAATTATGAAATATACGAATTTGTAGATTAACTTTAACGTTCGATATCAAAATGACTATTTCACCAAAATCAATTCGTATAAGATCTATTAATAACGTTGATGAAGACTTTAAATTTACCAAAATCAGTGGTCACTTTTTGGCACACTCACATTAACGTTTAATGAACAAATTGAGACTTATGAGTTGTAAATTACGAGGTTTATTTCTCCAAACTCAGTTTTTGTACGTTGAAAGTAATTCATATAAAATATTAATCCATCAAAACGTCACTTTTTTAGATTTTGTTTCGTTAATATCATTCCATTTATAAAATAAAATACAAAAAAATATTATTTAAATGATTTGTTTCTTTTTCAAAAACACATTTTTGTATGATTTATTGCGAAAACTTAAAAATCAATCTGTTGAAACGTCATTTTTATGACTTAGTTACTTTTTGACGTTAAAGTGTCAAATTGACGTTTCGATTTTAAAGTTATTCTATTTTTATAAATTTTTTTATTAAATTAGTTTTATTATTAAAATTGTTATTAAATATATGAATTTCTAGCATATTTAGATTATTTAACGTTTCGAAATTTCTTTTCAACTTTAAATTTATTAATTTTTGTGTTTAAACTAATCGTCAATAGATGTCATATTGATTAAAAATAAAATAAAAAATTATCCCACAATTATTGTCTTAAAAATACAAACAACAATAAAATGTGTTTTTGAAAAAAAAAACTGTTTCTCTTTCAGAAACACATTTTTGTATGATTTATTGCGAAAACTTAAAAATAAATTTGTTAAACGTCATTTTTATGACTTAGTTACTTTTTGACGTTAAACTGTCAAATTGACATTTCTATTTTAAGGTTATCATTCTATTTTTATAAAATTTCTTATTAAATTAATTTTATTATTTAAATTTTTATTAAACATTTGAAATTCTAACATTTTTAGATTAACTTTAAGACTTATTAATTTAATATACATCATTAATATCAAATCGTATAAGATCTATTAATGACGTTTAACGACTTTAAATTTACAAAAATCTTTTTTCCACATTGATATTAACAAAATTGAATCTCAAAGTTTGAAATTTATTTCTCCAATGTCGATTTTTGTACGATATAACATTAAAATTAAGCATCCATTTGAAGTATAGTTCATTTTTTTTCTATAATACCTGTCAAATTGTTGTAAAGTTGGCAAAATTAACAGAGAGTTTTGTTTTATCATGTTTTGAAGAAAATATGTCACATTGACGTTTGAGCTTTCGTTATTCAAAAAGAAAAGGTGCATAAAAAGTGTTGTGGGGTGTTTATTTTCCATTTATTTACCTAGAAAAGGTATATTATTCTATTTATTACTTTGTAGCACGTTTTTACAACAACGTGAAAATCGTATTTATCTAAAAATTGATTAGTATTTTAACCTCAACTAATTAGTTACTGAAAATGTTACTAAAAATCATGAAAACAACATAAATTTTATAAGGGTCCTAGATAATACCAACAGAAACCCTAAATAATTTACATTGATAAGTATTATAGAAAAAAAACGAACTATACATATTTATTAGAACGTTACTTTTATGTCATTTACTTTTTGACGTTTAACTGTCAAATTGACATTTAACTCCATTTTTCTAAAATTTCTTATTAAATTAACTTTATATTTGAATTTCTAACTAGAATTATTCATACAACAATGTTTTTCCGTATTTAGTCCGTTATATCGAGGTTATACTTTGTTGAATTTAAAAAATTGAAAAGTTGATTACACAGACGTCGGTTAAATGAATATGTATTATCTGAATTGCCACCGGCAATAAAGCTCCTTTCACATCGAAGCTTGGTAGATAAGCTTTTACAAAACCCTTCTGCGTTCTCACCCGTCGCGAACTTCCGACGTAGCACGCCCATAGAATTCAGTAGGTGGTTGATAAGAACGGAAATAGGAAACGTGAATTTTTAATAAACATCATGCTGCCGGTGAAGCTTTTCTTTATACTTCCACTGTCAGAGTTCGAGCAAACCGGCTTTTGAGATCAACTTTTTCGGGAAGACGGTATAAAATTGGGGCAAAAGTAGGGCGTTGGCATCCAACTGAAAAATAAATTCCTTAACCTTAACCTCAAATTATCTCGCAAAATAGAAACATTTTTTTTATTAGAAACAAAACTAATTAACTTTTTTCGAGATCGTGACGTTTTCCATTTTAAACCCTTCTTCTCACTTCTCGAGCTAAATGGAGTCGCATTAGAAAACTTCCAGAGGGGTACGAAAGAAGTTTTTCAACCACCTCCGAGAAAAGGGAAAGAAAAGTGTCGGCCTTTCGAAAGACCTTAATTGCCCGTTTCTTATCGATCTCCACCGTGCGCCCCCTTTTGTCTTTACCGTCTTTTTTGGGCGAGTCAAATCGCATTCGAAAATAATTGGATTATTACCCGGTTCAAATTTAGAGATATCTTAGAATCGGTTGTTCACCTCAAAGGATTAATTTTCCTGTAATTACCTTTAATATTTTCTTTTTTTTTCTGTTTTCTAGAGGTGTTTCGATTGTAGCACCTGAATTAGCAGTTCCTGGTAAAACAACGGCGATTTTCGTCACCTTTCAAGGACCGTTAAGCGTGGAACCCGTAAACGTGACGATAAAACTTGAACCGGAAGACGAAGAAAGTACTCAAGAACCAATAGAAACCGTACAAGAAATCAAAAGTAAGCGAACAAACTTTTTTGTGATAACTTTTACAGCATCGAATTCGAATGAAACCAAATTTTCACCTATTCGAACCGTGAACGATTGGGGGGACAAATTAAATCACGCCGTACGACGACGACGAGTCCTTTCCGCCCGCAGGTTACATCAAAGGAACGGGAAGGGGGCGGCGAACCATGAGGTGGAGAGGCAAATTTAGGGTGACAATAATTCGGCTCACTGAACCGCGAAATGCCCTCCACGATTTGAGTTGGAATTTAATCGATAAATGATCGCGATTATTTTTTTACAATTTTATTAAAATCCTGTTTTAACTAACGTGGGTTTGTTAGGGGTGATTTTTCCTTCGAATTCCCCAAATTCCTTGTTTGTAAGCGGGGATTTAGGTCCGGGATTTGACTGGAACGAAGTCTAATCGCCGTTTCCGATAGTTCTAAGACCAAAGGCTTAAGATATCCGGTTCTAAGGGGTAAATTGGAATTAAAACTTCCCCTTATATTTTGAATTTGAACGGTTTTGTAACTTAATTTAACTTTTTTAATAAACTTCGATAAGCTAAAAAATAAAAGTTAAAAATAACGTGATTAAATTAAGTTTTATAAAAATCATCCGGTTAACGAGTTTTCCTATTTTTATAAGATTAAAATAAAATTGAAGCCCCCGACGCAAATAGGGTTATTCCGAAATTGGGTCATCTATTAAAATTAACGTCCGGGCAGGAGATGATTACTACGGTTTGCTCCGGCTTATTCCCTTTTACTCCGATTTACTCTATTTTACTCCAGGCATACGACGACGTACAACCCCGGATATGGCGCGAAAACGAAATATCCGGGAACGATTCGCTAAAAAAATACCTAATCTGATTACCTGACGCAATCCAATTCTGGGATTTCCGTTTTTTTACACTTTACTTCTCCCCATAAAAAAAATATTACAAAAAAAATGATTAAAAACGATCAACTACTTCAATATTTCCAAAATGATCATTATTCCTCCGTTTCAAAGTCAATATTCAATAAGCTGTCCGAATGGAAAAGCGATGTTACTACGCAAACAGAGAGCTTTTTAACTTTGTGTCGATCAAACTATTCGATTTTAGACCTACTTATTTCCTAAAAGCCAAGTTTGATATCAACACGAAGAGTGTGCCCCTAAATTAATTAATTCGAACTTGAGGTTGAGTTGACTTATAGAGTTGAGTTTGAGTTAACGAAATTATTCTTATTTGAAATTGACAGCTTTATCAAATTAATTTTTTTTATTAAATATAAGACTTACTTAATTCCTCTTTTATAACACAACGAAGTTTTATTAATAATAAGCGTCTTATTGTCTACAATTTGCTTTCAATATTCTATCCAGTCAAATATACACAGTACAATATACCCTCTATACAATATACTCTCTACCCTCCACTCCTATCATCTCCACACCCTCTGCTCCTCGCCCCAATCACCTCCCTCTCCACAACTTTATATATATAGTCTAGAAGTACTCTAGTAAGTTTCTGGACTTCAAAAACAAGAGTGGAATTACAACGACGAAACACCAAGCAACAAGATAAAGTTTAAAGCTATTATGACCATACATGAATCTTCAAGAAAATGTTACTTATTAATGACGGCTGTTATTAACTTCACTAACAGTATTGGAAACTGCGTGAAGAAGGCTGTAATAATACTAAGAAAACTCTAGGGTTTGAAAAAAACATGGAATTATACTAGAGAGATGCCATACTGCAGAAAATTGTCTAGGATTACTCTAGTTAGTCTCTGGAGTGGAGAACAATACTAGAATTACAACGATATGCCACGAAATAGCGAAAAACTGTTAGAAATTATGCTCCCTAAATTCCATATTGCAAGAAAAATCGGAAATGACACTTATAAGATTCTGAATGACAAGGTGACGTTTATAATTATTTTGACAAGACCTCAGATGATATGGAGAAGTCTGGAATTTTATTAAGAAGATTGTGTGAAAAAGGCTGTAATTATGCTGAGACCTTTGATTATATATAATATGGATTGAGCCATCGAGAGAGATAGCTTGCGCAAGGTGATCGAACCGAGATAGACATAGAAGCGTACTGACATATAATGGGCGTGCGTTANATTGTGTGAAAAAGGCTGTAATTATGCTGAGATTCTAAGAGAAGTTTTAGAACTAGAGTAGAATGATGCCATACTGCGGGGATAGTCTAGAGGTGCACTACACCCTCTCAGCAAGTGCTCCAGCGTCTCAAAATCTTCTCCACACAACCTACACCAACCCTCCGCAACTTCCGCCGAGTACCTGTTTCTCTCCTCATTGCCACAACGGAATCTGGCCACCAATCCCTTCCTTTCCTCATCTCCTTTCATCAATAGACACTTTGACAGTTCCTCTCCCTTCCCGTATCTGTAACCTTCTCTCCTGCCTCTGTATGTTCCTGTCCCTATCCTTTAGTTCTCTCCACTTTTGGGTTGTCGATCTTACTTAGTGAATATCCCACTCTCCTATAATATCCTTATTACTTTCCTATCTCCCTGTCCATAAATCAACCTTCTCCCCGAGATTTTCCTCCAGCACTCTCCCAGGGTCTTGCAATGCGGTCTTCTTTCTATCCTTTCCTACAAAATTTTATTATTTTATTCCTAACCGGGTTAAAGAAAAGAATTTTGACAGTTCTAGTATTGCATTACCACGAGGGGTATATCGCAGGGGAATTTTGGTGTACAATCTTCAGGAATTAGTAAGGAATTAGTGGGGAATTTCTCTGGAAATTCGGGGAATTAATAAGAGAATAATGGAATTAGTAGGGAATTAGTGGGGAATTAGTATGGAATTAGAAGCAAATTGGAAGAATCTGGAAGCGAAGTAGATTGCGCAAAATGGCGTCGTGTAGCATAAAACTGCAAACGCGTGATCGCCCTCTTTGATTTTGGTTCTACAAACGCATGGGTGTAATTGGAGAATGGATGAAGGAGGAAGCTAAAAAATTTGGCATCAGAATTATGGGATTTTCCTCAGACGGCGATACTCGGCTTTTAAGAGCTATGCGTTTAAATACTTTGAAGTCTCGTTTAGCACCTGAATATAAAAAAAATAACAAAACAACCCCAAAAGATTCTGAGCTACTCCATTCTTTGCCAGTTCCAGATTGGGAGTGGTACCACTGCAACTTCGAAAAAAATGATGAATGTTATGTACAGGACACCACCCATATTTTAACAAAAATGCGTACTCGTTTCCTAAAATCAGGAATAAATTTGCCAATTGGGAAATACACTGCCACCTCTAGTCATCTCAGGGAATTGATCTTAAAGGTTCCAAAAGACAAACATCTCCTGACAGATTCTGATCTCAAAAGTGAAGACAAGATGAATTTTGCATCCGCAGAAAAAATGTGCAGTTTGATAGTAATTGAACAACTGAATAAGGAAATTCCGCAAAGTGAAGGTAGTGTGGCGTATCTTAAGCTTATGTACTACATCGAATCGTCGTTCTTAAATTCCAGCACTGAGTTGGGTACTAGATTATATCGCATTTGGTATGTTGTATTTTTTACTAGGATCTGGAGAGCCTGGATTCAAGGAAAAAAAGAATATCAAATAACAGATAACTTTTTAACCAGTAATTGATTAAACTAATATGGCTTGAGTTAAAACCAGAGATGTTCAGTATCGGTATTTTTGGTAGCCAAGCATGTGAATCCTTATTTCGGGCTGCCAGGTCCATGACCTCCACGTATTCAACAATAATAAATTTNGGCTGAGACTAGAGAAGTTTTAGAACTAGAGTAGAATGATGCCATACTGCGGGAATAGTCTAGAGGTGCACTACACCCTCTCAGCAAGTGCTCCAGCGTCTCAAAATCTTCTCCACACAACCTACACCACCTCTCCACAACTTTCGCCGAGTACCTGTTCCCTCTCTCCTCATTGCCACAGCAAAATCTGGCCACCAATCCCTTCCTTTCCTCACTCCTTTCATCAATAAATACTTTGACAGTTCCTCTCCCTTCCCGTATATGTGACCTTCTCTCCTGCCTCTGTATGTTCTTGTCCCTATCCCTTAGTTCTCTCCACTCTTGGGTTGTCGATCTTACTTAGTGAATATCCCACTCTCCTATAATATCCTTATTACTTTCCTATCTCCCTGCCTATATACAGGGTGTCACACAAAAAACGCCCCAAGCTGTAACTCTGTTATTTACATTCCGATTTTCATATCGATCAAATGAAATGGTTTTATAAATACTATGATTCATGATACAAATAATTTTTTCCAACGCCATCTTCAATTTTAAGCGATTATTAACTTTTGTTTTTCAAATAGCTGCGTATATTTTTCTTCACGTCATTGGATAGAGATTGTTCTTCTGAATCCATTGATGTACAATACATCCTTTTTGAATGTAAGTTTAGCAGAGAAAAGTCACACAAGAATGCCGCAAGCTGTAATTCTGTCATTTACATTCCGATTTTCATGAGCGAGGTATCAAATGCAAAGGTTTGCTGAATACTATGATTCATGCTACAAATAAACTTTTTCCAACGCCATCTTCAATTTAAAGCGATTATCAACTTTTGATTTTCAAATTGCTCGGTAAGTTTTTCTTCACGTTATTGGATAGAGATTTTTTTTTGAATCCATGAATGTACATCAATGTACAATACATCAACATTAATTATAATTGTAGTAGAGAAAAACATTAAAATAGTTTCCGAACATTCTCTGAAAGTCACTTGTGGTATACTGTAGTGTGCCATGGGAAAAAATAAAAAAAAACAACTTATAAGTATCATTTACAACTGCTTCGGGCATTGAAATAACATTTAATGACTGTTATCAGTTTTGCGCGTTATTTTTTTCTATGGCACACTAGAGACAATGTTCGGAAAATGTTTTAATTGTTTTTCTCTGCTAAAATTACAATTAATGTTAATCTATTGTATATCAATGGGTTCAGAAAAAAAATCTCTATCCAATAACGTGATGAAAAACATACCGAGCAATTTGAAAATCAAAAGTTGTTAATCGCTTGAAATTGAAGATGGCGTTGGAAAAAGTTTATTTGTAGCATGAATCATAGTATTCATCAAACCATTTCATTTGATAGCTAGGTCATGAAAATTGGAAGGTAAATGACAGAG